CAGTGGCTATTTTTGTCCTGGCCCACCATGTACTTTGTGGTTGATGCAGTAAGAAGCAGTTTTTCCTATCCCTATTATTTTATTGATCATCAAGATGCAATATGAATACTAACTCGGTAGGGGTAATAATGTAACTTATAACCAATATATGTATATCTTCGCATACAACCCGGAAAAGTGTCTGTGTATATAGATCTATGTATAAATAATTTCATACCGAACCAATATATATATCCAAACCAAAAATACAAAAATATCATAAATATCATGCCTGACAAATTCATTCTCATTCCTCAATCCATAAACAACATTAAGCGAACCTCAGCCTAAGTAACTATGTAACTATGCACCACCTCTAATCCTAAACCCAACCCCCAGGACCTAGATACATACAAACACAAAAACCTAAACCTTCGCCGCCGGCGCAAACTTAGCCCTCATCTTATCCGCAACCAACTTCTCATCATAAATGAAATTAACACTCTCATGCGCAGCAGTCGCCTCCGCCCAACGCTTGAACCTGGGAGCCTGCTCCAACAAGGTTGACAACTTAGCAGAAACAAGTCCATGCTCGGGCTTCGCAAAGCTCAAAATCCGCAACAAGAACGATCCCGACTGCACCTCCGCAAGGGTTAACTTCTCACTACCACCAAAGAATGGACCCTTGCCCTCCGTGTCTGCCAGAAGGGGTTCAACCTCCTTCACGATGGCAGCGACGAGCTGCTCAGCGGCGGCATCGCGCTCGGTCTCATCGGCGGCGCGGAGACTGGCGAAAAATGATGGGAGGACTTTGCTGAAGAAGGCGTCTACGAAGAAGCTGAGACGGGCGCGGTAGAGGGCGTTTTCGGTTGGGGAGGAAGGGGGGAGGAGGTGGGTTTGGTGGGCGTCTGCGAGGAATTGGGCGACGATGCCGGATTCGGTTACGATGGTTCCATCATAGGTGATGGTGGGGACGAGGCCACGCTATTGGAGATGTTAATATATGGGTTATAGTGTATGAGGCGTGGTATGCAGTGTAGGTTATGTGTAGATGACAAGAGCGCTGGGGAAGAGGGCTCGGCACTTACTGGGTTGATTTCCAGATACCACGGCTCACGCGGTGTGTTCAGGTCGATTATGACTTCTTCATACTCGAGGCCGATTTCCTTGAGTGCGATGTGTGCGCGGTGAGCCCAGGGGCACAGGTGGTTGGTGTAGAGGACGATCTTTGGGGAGGACATGATGAATTGAGGTGTGGTAATTATGTAGGAGTACCTAAGAGGTTAGGGAAGGAAGTTATATAGAAGAAGAAGAAACGCCATTCTAAACCACATTGCGAAATGAGGGGTTGGATTAGTAAAATGTACTTAATTGTTAATCAATCGCGAAATCGAGTCGTTAACTCCGTTGCCGTTCCCCGTTCGCGGCTAAGGATTGAACAGATGTGGGGGACCTGCAGAAATGATCCATTTGTCATATATGTAAGGTGGTAGAGAAATTATTGTACCTTAACTAAGGTCCTTGGATAAAATTGGTCTAATTATGTACATACATTAAAGCGTGCACTATATGTGTCCGATATCTTCTGACCAACCTTCAGCGGCGCTCATCCATCGGGGTATAGAAGTAGTCTCAAGTGGCAAACCGAGGTGTAGTACGTAAAAAGACCGGAAATGTGCTCTAGGAGCAAAGAGCACATTGACCGAGCCCGATGCGCCAGCGACCGGTTCCACACGGATCAAGTGGAAGAAGATAATAGAAGAAAAAAAAGGGTCAAAATGAGAAAGACGAGATGACCGTCATAAAATGGGGGGTATATCGAATACGAGTATAAAGGAGCACTAAGTCGATTGTTGAGATCGTTTGGGGGATGGCCAGTCGGGGCGTAAAAAGCACTGGACGGAACAGAAGGATCAACGCGCTGTCGTCAAAACGTAAGTTTGCATGAAAACTGAGAATTGAGAACCGTGCTCAAACTTCCTCGTCTTCCTGGCCGCCGTCGATGATCTTGTGCCAGTGCTGCGGCAGACAGATACAGACCAAGGGGAAAGCCTTGATCTCACCTGACGGCATGGGCGACGAAGGATGCATCCGTGAGCCATTCGAGACACCACTGTCGCGCTGTTCGCGGTAGTGCATATCTTGGTCCTCGGCACGCTCGGGGAGTCGCACACCCGTCGCCCAGCCATCGTCCCAGATGCCAATTACCCTCAACATCTCGCCTCGGTCGAGTTCGAATTCGTCACCTGCGCGTGGCGAGTACGCCCACAGGACGGCAACCTTGTCACCAGCGTGAATCTCATCTTGAGAGTAGTAGTCGCGGAAATAAGACAGCTGCTCAGATCGACCACTGGTTACTGCTTCGGGGGAAGAGTATTGGTTCGTCGGGCCGGAGCGAGGCGAGCTGTCGCTTTCTAGTCCAGCCAGAACCGAGCTGCTCGAGAGTGAGCCATGTCGTTTCCCTGTCACTGGTGGAATTCTCTTGGACATAGCTCCTGGACTGGCGCCCGTGCCTTCTGAGTCTGACGTGTCGCTGTACTTGGCTCCGCTGCCGTACATCGCCGCGGAGGTGCGCGAATAGGCGGGCGATGATTGACTAGGCACTTCGCGAAGTGCAGACATCCGTGTGACTCGGCCTCCTGGCACCATGTTGTACGACGTTGGGCTTGGGGGCTGCTGCATTGATGGCGATCCGCCCTTTCTTTGTGGGTTTGGTTGGTTGAGTGCAGCTTCGTTTTGGGTCTCACGACGACGGCGGCGCATGAAAATGCAAAAGAAGGCGAGAGCACCTAGAATGGCAGCTCCTACAACGGCGCCAATTACGATTCCGGCAATTGCGCCGCCCGACAAGCGATGGCTAGGACTTCCGGTGGCGGAGGGCGAGGGCGTGAGAGGTGGTAGAGTAACAGTCGGTACTGCAACACCGTCACAGCGACTCGTGGCGTTGGATTTCGTGCAGCAGCTATCGGTGCCGTTGGCGCAAAAAGTGCAGAGACCAATGGTATTTGTCCCAAAGCCGCAGTTGTGAGGCTCATTCGCAGCTCCTTTGACACAATCTCCAGAAAGGGCGTTGGATGGTTTTTCGCAGATGGTCAATTCGGCATAGATTAGGTCCGTATAGTTCTTGTCGCCACTGGTGCATAAGTCTGTGTTTGCCATTGTCTCCTGCTCACTCCGGGCCCAAAGAGCGCATGTATCGACGCAAATTGGTACCGATTCAGCCGTGGAAAGTTTGCAGTCGGATATGGAGCTTTGCACGACACTGCTGCACAAAACACTGGTTGTATACTGGGCATAGTAGTTGTTGGGCGCGCTCGAATTCATGCCTTGGCATCCCAGTAAGTCATCATACCTAGGCCCGTTAGTGACTCTTCTCCCGGTCCATTGATGCCAACACATACTTTGTCGAGATATATGATCCATTGATATAGTCCTTTAATGAATTATCGAAATCCGTCAGATTCGATACGCTTTTAAGGAAAGGGCTAGCAGTGCATTGTCAGCAATCGGTTTTTCCCCCCATGCCTAATCGGGCGAATTTCCACTCACAAGTCCGCATATAGACTGGAACTGGTTGAAATGGACGAGCTACTCCAGGCAGGGCAGGCACTTGACCCCTTGAGGGAAATGCAGTTCGACATGCCGGGCAATATTGGCAGTCTGGTCGTATAAATGGACCCCCTTTGGGTTATATCGGCGCGGAATGTGTCAGGTTGCGATCGAGAATGTTTCTAGGCGTGATGCGAATCGGATATTCGAATGGGAAAATTGGATAGAATGTGTCGACCCCAGGTCGAAACTCAAGCTCGAAAAGAAGAAAAACGCGTCAAAGGCAGGTAAACGAGTGACTCGGGGTTCTCAACGCCCGGAAGGAAAGGTCAACCGAGCCCCGTAGGCCTGAATTCGAAAAACGGAGAAAGAGATGACAAGACGAAGTTCTAAGATTGGAAAAGACAAGATTAGACCTTCAAGATGGTCTGGGCTTGTGGGTAACAGGGGGCTAGGGAGATGAACTGCTGGGAAAAAGGCCAATTATGAAACACGGGAAACAGGCATAATCGGCTGTACAGGTTCAGACACGCTAAGCTCAACCTTGTTATCTTATTCCGTAGATGGGACTTGAAGAAAGACAATAATAACTAAAATGATAAAAAGGGGGTGGGGGGCAGTAGTTCCGCGTTGTTTACCTTTTTTTTCTCTCTCTTTATTCTCCGGACTCTTTGGGTATCGAACTTCAATTGGGACTGAATTTCTACCTGGTACATAGATTGTACTATAAAATACAATATTCGACAATGACAACGGTTATCCAAGTCAGTTATGATTGGCGTCTATTGTCAGATTCTGATTCTGTTCATCACCAGCCTCGCTAGTGACCCGTTAGCGGCTTAGGGAGACGATCGCTATATCACCCTTTGCCGTCCGGAAAAACTCGAAAACTTGGGGAAACTATATTATTACCAGTCTCTGGAGCTTGACATTAATTTCCCGAATTTCCCTTGCTTCTTGCACAGAATTTGGCAATGGATGCAGCGCATTTCAACGTATGTGAGCTATCGGTTGAGAATGCGAGGGACTGATGTGCACACTTGGGACGGAATATGGAGTACAGGGTACCCGGTCGCAAGCAGCAGGTACCCGGCAGCTGCATGTACCAGGTACTTACAAAACTTAGTACATTTTATTCAAAACTGCCCCCCCCGCTTGGGCAGATATCGGATAAGTCTGATTTCTACTTGTATAGATCAGTAAATTTACTTTTACCTTACTTGGAAATATAATAGAAAGTGTATATTGTAGAGAGTCACACAATATGCTATGTATGATGTACAATGTAGGGCTCTGGCGAATTATGGAGTGGTCATGTGACCATTGACATCATCTGATCTGGAACCAGGCTGCCGTCAGACAATCTGCGACTCGTCCAAACGGTGGAAAAGCTCTCTGACCATTGCCACAAATCCCTAGTGTACTTGATACAACTCACATTTTCCCACCAGATCTCAGAGACACCTTGAGCCATGTGCAGCTCCGACATTTTCCTAGCAGTACTCGCCGTATTCTTCCCACCGATCGCAGGTAAGTCCACCCGCAAACCCGCAAATCCACCTCCACTCGGTAGTCACAATGCTAATCAAACCCTTGCATCAACAGTCTGGGTCAAGACAGGGTTCTGCACCGCAGACTCGATCATCAACATAACCCTCACCCTACTCTGCTTCTTCCCGGGTCTCATCCACGCATGGTACATCATCCTCAAGTATCCGGAACCAAACGATGACGATGTAGCCTACGAGCCCATCCCCGGTGGCGGGAGTCGACGTCGTGATCTGGAGAACGGCAATGTTACCTATTACTACGTCTCTCACCAGCCTATTCAACACCCCTCCCAGCGCGGATATGGCACAGTTAACCCTCACGGCCAGCCGGCGCCTGCTCCGGCGAACAAACCACACAACCAGACCGAAGATAGTGGGAATGCGGGAAGCAGCAGCGCGCCCCCACCACCCACTTATGCTGAGGCTGTGAAGGGTGACAACAAGGTGCAGAGTCAGGAATGAGAATGAGGCTCGACTCGTTGGCTGTGCTTGTGGGTGGTGTCCTCGGCTTGCCATTATCTCATCGGTCACTTTGTTCCCGACCTGGTTGTACTATCCATACCCCTCCGCTTTGCTGTTCTTGTACGCGCACTTCCTAAGAACTGCATCGTTATGTTATGACTTGACGAAGGAATGTGCTATGTAATTCTGAATTTTTGATTTTGTTCACTGATTGTGGATGTTCTTCGATTGTATGTTCTTTATAATGCTCTGGATGCGTGATACTATACCAATACTTTTTATGCTAGCCTTGGAGGCATTCAGCACTAAATAAGCCTTTGGGTTGACAAGTCCTAGATATTAATCATTATTAGGGCCCCACTCTGAATAATTTCCACCTTGAAAAGTGGTTATCTTTTTTTGTATCCTTGTGGCGGAGTATAATGATCTCGACAATCGATATATCGCTTGTACTAGAACCGAAAAACTAGCGTCGGTACACGGATTGGAGCACAAGGTGAGTATTAAGAAACTAGAAAGTTGCTTGATACCCAAGAGTTTAGGCATCGGTTACTTCTCGCTCTAACTGACTAACTATCGGAGTTATACCTTACTAGTTAATTAGGCAGTTCTAGTGTTTTACATACATACCCAAAGATAATGTATTGATTGAATGCCATTCGCATGTGTATTTTCTCCGCATATTGCAGGAAATACTAATAAAGCTTCGGGTATCAGGCTCCTACGTCGGCACTACCTCGGACCTAGGGTCGATGTTTATTTAGTCTCATATGTGCCAAGGTTAAAACTTGCGATGCCTAGCATTCGCCAATCTGAGGTCGTTATCGAGACTAGAACTGACACCAGAGAACCAGTGTCAACTTAGCTCCCACCACATTCCTTCGCTTATTGTTCTTTATAGTACTTTGACTGACCTGGAGTTCGTATTTAAGAAAAGTACACGAAGTACAAATATGGCCTCCGGCTTGATCCCCGGCCTTGCGAACATAATAGGAAACGCCGACAGCGCCAATGGCGCCATGTCTTACTATCCTTGTCAATTCGTAGTCAATTCGTAATCACTTAGCCATATGCTAGGCATCGAGAAACAGTACCATGATAATCTACCTGGTGGAATAAACTATCCTCCGCAAATATTAAACACAGTAAATCCTAGGCACCAATTTCCGTACAGAGTACATCTTCCTCAGCAGATAGTCTTTGACTAGGCTTCACTTAGTAGGGCAACATCAGGGCAATTCCCCAGGGATACACGCGCTCTTATCGGAGGGGGTATTTATTTTGTTTATCTCCCACGAATCATCACGGGTTTATAGCAAAGTGCAAGTCAACTGTCAACATAGAATAGGCAACAAGAAGAATCTTATTTAACTCGTGGTATTGACATTAGATTGTTAAGAATTTTTATACAACATATAAGTTCTGTTCCTGTATCCATTGTCTTCAGGCCAAAGAGCTGCAGTCCAACCTGATCTTGTGCCTGGCATGGAATTGTCAAGCTGCATGAACGACGTTTCCTTTGGCCCTACAGTCAATGGTTGCCGCGGAAACTTTGACTTTACGCTGAAGTTCGAAAAAATCATCCTCTCGATACTGCCGTCCGCTATATTTATTGCATTATCGGTCCCTCGAGGTATTTACCTCGTTCGTAGACCGATAATAGTGGGCGGTACAACCTTCCGATTTACAAAGATTGTGTGTTTTCATTCGGCCCCTACTGAACATTGGACCATCTTGACTAATATGCCTTGGAAACTATGAAGGCAGCAGGGGCAATCTACACAGTCTTGCAGCTTACTCTCCTCATTATCGGCAGCATTGAACCATCCGAACTGCGCGGCTTGTCCATCACAGCTGACGTGCTAAGCTTTGTTGTGGCGATAGCCATATCCATTCTGAGTTCCTTAGAACATTCTCGCTCACCCCGGCCATCTATCTTGCTCAGCGCCTTTCTCTCCCTGACTATCCTCTTTGATATTGCACAAGTACGATCCCTCTGGCTGCTGGCCCAGAGCTACAATGAGATTACCTATGTGAGGATTTTCACTGCGGCTATCGTCTGGAAGGCTGTCCTAGTCTTGGTGCAATCACTACGTCTCCAGAGCTGGTTATCCTGGGACCGGAAAACGCATAGTCCCGAAGAAACCACTGGGCTATATGGACTAGGCAGCTTCTTCTGGCTCAACCCCCTCTTCCTGTCAGGATACAAAACGGTTCTGAATTTATCAGATCTCTTTCCACTTGACAATAGTATCTCTGTAAAGACCCTTCAAGCATCCTTTGGCCAGTATATCAAGCGCGCCGGTTTCCACGGAGACAAAAACGGCTTGACGAAAACACTTCTTCGCGCATTGACAGTCCCAATCTTGCTGCCAGTGGCTCCTCGCATTGCCCTGATCGGACTGACTCTGTGTCAACCTTTGCTTATCGAGGCCGTCTTGAACTCGCTCGAGGAACCTCAAACCTACTTGACTACTAATAAGGGCTACGGTTTGATTGGCGCGACGATACTGATCTACACAGGAATGCCACTTGCTACTGCCCTTTATTGGTATCTGCATGAACGAGCCTTATTCATGTCACGAGCACTTTTGGTCTCTGCGATATACGACAAGACCATCAAGGCACAGACTTCGGCCGCGGACGACTCGGCCGCAGTTACACTTATGAGCAGCGATGTCGAAAGGATCAGGATGGGTCTCATGCAGCTTCACGAATTTTGGGCAAATCCCATCCAGGTAGCTATTGTGTGTTGGTTACTTCAGCGCCGGCTTGGAACGGCATTTGTGGCCCCTGTGGTTGTTGTCCTTATTTGCATCATCGCCTCGACTGTCCTAATGCGTTTTATTGGTCCAAGGCAAATGGCTTGGATGAAAGGAATTCAGAGGCGGGTCGGCCATACAGCGAATGTCATTGGTAATATGAAACATTTGAAGATATCTGGGCTCACCGCGCCTGTTGAAGAGTCAATTCAATGGCTGCGTCTTGAAGAATTGAAGGCTGGAGGCCACTTCCGTGCCTTTCTCGTGGGTTCTGTGGGAATTGGGTTTACGCCAGTTATCTTGGGCCCTGTCTTCGCATTCGCTCTCTCATCTCTCGAACTGAATGTTACGATTATCTTCACGTCACTGTCATATCTCCAGCTTCTCTCAGGACCACTGTCATTGCTGTTTCAAGTTCTTCCTCAGTTGCTTGCGGCATTTTCATGTCTATCACGAATTCAGCTGTTCCTTGAGACAGAGCCTAGGGATGACTTCCGTCAGATTTTGGGTCCAGATGAATTGTCTGAGAAAGAGCATTTGAGTGAAAAATTGCCATCGATTGTGGAGATCAAGAACGCAGACTTTAGCTGGGAAAAGGATGTCCCGGCTCTGAAGAACATCAATATTTCCATGTCCAAGGGCTTGAATATGGTTATTGGCCCCGTTGCCTCTGGGAAGTCGACGTTATGCAAAGCCTTGCTTGGAGAAATCCCCATTGCATCTGGAGAAATCCTCATACGAACCAAATATCGCAGGATCGGATACTGCGATCAAGTTTCCTTCCTCCCCAATGAAAGTATCAGGGACACCATCATAGGCTTCTCAACTTTTGATGAGGAAAGATATGCCAATGTTATCGAAGCAACAATGCTCGCTCAGGACCTGCCTCTTCTGTCTAAAGGAGATCAAACCAAGATCGGCAGTGACGGACTCGCCCTCAGTGGTGGACAGAAACAGCGAATCTCGCTTGCAAGAGCATTGTACCTGCAATGCGATGTGCTTATTCTCGATGATGCCCTTGGTGGACTGGATTCCAATACAGAAGAGCACATTTTCCATAATATTTTTGGACCTTCAGGAATTCTCAAGGCAAGAGAGGCAGTTGTGATACTTTGCACAAACGCCATCCGACACCTCCCATCAGCCGATTACATTGTTGCACTGGGAAATGACGGTACGGTCGTGGAACAAGGTCGTTTCCCTGATCTTGTTGTGAATCGCCAATACGTCCATGGCCTCGGAGTCCAGACTGACGCCAGCGGTATATCTCATCCGACAACAACAATACCTAAGATACCACAGTCTAGGGTCGAGATTCAAATGAAGTCGGCTCAGGCAAGCACTACTGACGATGAAGCATCCATTTCCGAAACCAATGGCAAGAAATCGAGTAGAAAACTGGGTGACCTTTCCATCTTCGCGCACTACTGCCGGAGCATTGGTACTTTCTGGCTCGTCAGCTTCTTCTTGACTGGTTTTCTTTGCGGATTCTTTTACAACTTCCCTACGATCTGGTTAAGCTACTGGAGCACGGATTCTTTCACTCGATCGAAGTCTTTCTACATTGGCATATACGCCCTTTTCCAATGTCTGGCCTTAGCTACAGTCATCAGCGAGGCAGCCATCGGCATGCTATTAATTATTCGCAACGCTGGGTCACGTCTACACGAGGCTGCTCTGCAAACAGTTATTTCCGCACCGCTGCGTTTCTTCTCTCAGACAGATACGGGAATCATCACCAATCTGTTCTCCCAGGATATGACGCTTCTCGATGGCGAGCTTCCACAGGCTTTGATCAATACGTCCCTACAAACCTGGATAGCGGTAGGAGGGGCGGCAGTGGTTGCAACATCATCTCCCTATATTGTTATCACTTATCCCTTCATTGTGGCAATTCTTTACAGTGTTCAGAGATTCTATCTTCGCACATCTCGCCAGCTTCGGCTCTTGGATCTAGAGGCAAAGAGCCCGCTTTAGTATGTCTCTCTCTTCTAATGTATTACAGTATCCTTTACTTACCTTTAATGTCTCTAGTACGCACTTTTTGGATACGATCAAAGGCGCGGCCACCCTGCGAGCTTTTGGTTGGATAGAGGACTCCGTCTCTGTAAACAATGTCCTTTTAGACACCTCGCAACGCCCTGCCTATCAGTTGAGCATGATACAGCGATGGCTGTCCTTTGTGCTCGACATGATTGTGGCGATTATTGCATTGCTAGTGGTCACTCTTACTACTCAGCTTCGTCCAAGCACTGGCTTTACCGGTGCGAGTTTGGTGTCAATCATGACGCTTGGGAAAACTTTGGCTACTCTGGTGCAAATGTATACGTTGCTGGAGACTTCAATTGGGGCCGTCTCCCGCTTAAAGTCTTTTAGCGACAATACTGTTCCGGAAGACCTACCTGGTGAGGATGGTATTCCCCCAGCTGCATGGCCAGTGAGAGGTAGGATCGAAGTCAAAAATATGTCTGCATCATACAGCGGTACCGAATCAACCGAGAAGTCGGAAGCCTCGGACAATCTTGCACTTCGAGACCTCACATTCACGATTGAAGGGGGACAGAAAGTAGCGATTTGCGGAAGAACAGGAAGGTGAGTCTGAAATGATCATTGAGCAGATCCTTACATCGGTATGCATTAGTGCTCAACACTTAGGACTACTTTCAACAGCGGTAAATCCTCCATCATCCTCCTCCTACTACGCCTTTTAGACCCACTTCTTCCATGTACTGGTGAACTCACCATTGACGATGTCTCACTCCTGACAATCGACCGCTCCACCTTGCGCCGGCGCATTATCGCAGTGCCCCAAGATTCAACATTCTTCCCTGATGGCACTTCCTTCCTCAAAAACCTCGACCCATTCAACGTTGCAAACGAGGATGAATGCCAAGCTGTGCTCGAAATGACAGGGTTATGGTCCTTGGTATCTGATCGCGGGGGGCTCTCGGCCGGACTGAGTGTCGATGGGCTTAGCCATGGCCAGAAGCAGCTGTTCAACCTGGCAAGGGCGGTCCTGCGTCGGCGAGTTCATGCTCGCCATCTAGATGCCGAGATTGGGGATTCTTACATCAAATCACGCAATTCTGCAGCTGAGGCTTCGGGTGATACCGGTGTCCTTATCCTCGACGAGGTCAACCGTGGTGTTGATATGGCGACGCAGAAGACCATGCGGGATATTATACGGCGTGAATTTGCAGGGTACACTGTTGTTATGGTTAGCCATGGGCTTGATATGGTTATGGATTTTGACAAGGTTTTTGTTATGGATGAAGGCAGGCTCGTGGAAGAGGGCAAGCCGATGCAATTGGTTGACGAGGTGGACAGTTGGTTTAGAGAGCTGTGGATGGTTGGAAAGCATGAAATTCTCCAGGCAGCTGAGTAGGTTGTTTAGACCTATATTCCCTTGTTCTCAGCCTGTCCCTGCTGTTAAATAGTTTCTTTCCCTTCGCTATGTATATTTTTCTAGTGTTTCAATATTTTTGCTGCTTATTGCTTTTCTATGTGCTTGGTAGCCGGAGCTATGGATGTCGGTGGCAGACCAAATTCGAGGAAGTGGGAATAACCCAGGAACCCAGGAACACTATTTTAATAATAAGTCAGAACATTAAATACAATTAGCCAAATATGTGTATAATACACAATAGAATACCCCAAGATTCTACTCATAGAAAAGTACGAAACGTGCTACACTAACAGCAATCTGATAAGCTATCCGAGGCCAAGTCCCGTCCCGAGATGATCCTCGTTCTCTTTAGCACCACCACCACTTCCTGCCACAAGCCTGTGGCCTTCGTTCTGGCCATGCAGTCTATGCCACAGCTGCTTAGGCAATCTTTCCGGTCAAGCCTCCAATTTACAAGCACTTCCTCCCCAGTGCGAGCGCACTTCCGCCCTGCATTCTCCGTCACCAGATCGACTCCGCGGAGCTTCTCCGCCTGCGTACAATGCCAATTCCGCCGACAGCCGGGCATATATTCGGCCTTCAATGACCGAGAGAAGTTCTCTGCTGATACGGAGAGGTTAATCAGGGAAAAGGAGAAAGAACTGGCCGATCTGGAGCTCGCCTCGCGCGACCCGGCCCCGATCCCGGGTGTGGAGGCGGGCAGTTCCTTCGGTTCAGTACCTCCTGTCACAGAAACCGATGAGACCACCGCACAGTCACAAACAAAGGAGAATGAAAAGGACCAGTCAGCTTCGGTTGAGGAAGATGCTAGTTCCGTTGGCACAAGGAGCAGGGGTCTGCCCTCGTACTTGGAAAGCCGTCGGTCAAAATGGTCCAAGCAGTTCAGCACAGTGATGGACAATGTGCAATCCAATGTTTTTGTAGCGGGTCAGCGTTTAAACGACTTGACTGGATATTCCGGCATCGAAGCTCTGAAGAACGATATCCATTTCCACGGTATGTAGCATAGCACCACCGCCCAAACCCCCAACCCACTCAATCCTAGACACTAATTCCGCTCAATTATCCAGAGAGTCGACTCCGCACTGCTCGATCGAAGGTCAAGCAAGCCAAAGAAGAGTACACCGCAGCAATTAACCGCCGCTCAACCTCCCAACGCGAAGTAAACGAGCTCCTCCAACGCAAGCACGCCTGGTCCTCAACAGACCTGGAGCGATTCACCCTCCTCTACCGCAACGACCACACAAACGAGGTCGCCGAGACCGAAACCTCGCAAGCTCTATCAGCCGCAGAGCGCGAAGCTGAAGAGGCAGCCGGGCAACTAAGCAAGAGCATCCTCTCGCGATACCACGAGGAGCAAGTCTGGTCTGATAAGATCCGTCGCATGTCGACATGGGGAACCTGGGGTTTGATGGGCGTGAACGTCCTACTATTCCTTGTCTTCCAAATCCTCGTGGAGCCGTGGCGTCGGAAGCGACTCGTCAAGGGATTTGAGGATAAGGTTGTTGAAGCGTTGGAGAAAGAGAAGGTCTTGAACCGGGCTATGTTTGCTGAGAACGCTGTTTCGATCTCGGCGTTGCCGAATACCACCATCCTCCCCGAAGTTATTGATTCTACCGATGAGAACTTAACCGAGCCCGCTCCTTCTCTTTTGATTGAGCCGAAGCTTGCTGCGCCGGAGATAGATGCGGCCACTACGGGGTCTGTTGTCTCGGTGACCGATGCTAATGCATCCCAGTCTCTTCAGACCCGTCTCGCAAATATTACTTCGCCGGTTTCGTCGCTCGAGTACTGGAAGCAGGTGGTTGGCGAGTTCTTCAGTGATCGCAGCATTGCTGCCTCCCAATACGATATCACCGCTGTGGCTCTTCAGAGTGCAGCAGCTGGTGCAGCTGTGACGGGTCTACTCTTCGCCCTGATCGGATCGAGGTAAAAAAATCATTTCCTTTGAGCATGTTATATTGCATTACCAGCGAGAACTCAATATTTGGTTCATGTGTTGGTCTTTTTGATAATCACTTGCCCTTTTGCTTGGGGTGGTTATACTTGTACATACAATTGAGAAAAATAGATAAGCAGTTGGATATAACCTTGGACTTGAATTTAGTGTATGACTGCTTGAGAATTGTCTGGAGTATATATCAAAACACTGAGGCATTGGCGTTAATTGTTGCTATTACAAAAGAACTAAAGAAGCATTGATCTAGAACAAAAAGGAAATAACATGACTAGGCGATACACTAAACAAAGAACATATGTACTTAAGGAGACCATAGGATATCCTCTGAACTCCACAGCTCGTGTGTTCGCCATGGAGAAAGACCAAGATCCAGGAAGATAGGAACAAAGGAAGAAAGAGGCTCATTTTTTTGTCCATATTAAAACACAGGTCTCTTAATCTTGACAAGACACACGGCCGCTCTGTCTAAAAAAGGGGAAAAACAACACACACAAGCACAAGCACATACACAGATAGATAGGACACATAATCCATCCATCTTTATCTCATCGACACTTCTAATGAGACAATCCGCCCGTTGGCGGCGATCAAAAAAAGGGTGTATTCGAAATTCGCTTAACCGATAACCAGGGTCTCATCCTCGGGGAAGCTGTAGGTGGGAACCTCCAAGTTCAGAGGGGCAGGGCCCCTGCGAATACGGCCGGAGATATCGTAGTGGGAACCGTGGCAGGGGCAGAACCAGCCGCCGTAGTCACCGGCCTCACCGATGGGGACACAACCCAAGTGGGTGCAGACACCTGTGGAGGGGGAAGGAGAGTTAGAATGCTGCAGCTTGTTTGCGAATCGCATGTTTACTTACCGAGCATGACGAGCCACTCGGGACGCTGGACACGGTCCTCATCGGGCTGGGGGTCACGGAGACCCTCCCACTTGGCCTCACGGGCCTCATCGATCTCGCTCTGGGTGCGGTGACGGATGAAGACGGGCTTACCACGCCACTTGATGATGACCTGTTGGAAAGAGTGTTAGATAGGGATACTGGGTACTGGAATGTGTCGAATGAGGTGGCGAATGGAAACACGTACGTTCTTGCCCTCGGGGATGGCACCGAGAGAGATCTCGACCTTGGCCTGGGCCAGGACATCGGCGGAGGCGGACATGTTGACCAGGAAATCTGGAGAGAAAGGAATAACATCAGTCGTGTGTTCAAAGTCGCCCGAATTTCCCCGATGATTCAATAATCTTGTTCAATCCCTGTATTCCATGCCAATGTTGTTTCCCATCTCTTTCTGATTCGAGGAGTTCGCAAAAACCTACCTTGGACAGTAGCCTTGGCACCGACAGCGGTCGCCAGACCGAGGGAGCCGGCCATGAAGTAGGAGAAGACCTGGTTGGAGCGGGGCGAGTTGTTGGACTTGTACTTGCTGAAGTTGGGGATCTTCAGGGTCGAGCCACGCTCGTTAGCGCTGGCGAAGGGAGATTCGAAGGACGACTTCGCATCGGCAACTCCCCTCCGCTGCTGGCAGGAGGTGACGGCGGCGCGGGAAGTGGGCAGCTGCTGCCGAGCGACGGTGCGCAGCAGAGTGCTGGAAGCGGAGGAGAGCGACATTGTGAGGGCAATTGACCACGGAGGGAATTGAGCCGCGAGTTGTGGAGAGCGAGGTGAGGATAGAGGGTGGATGAAGTCGGAAGTTGAAGTTGGAGCCAGAGCTTTCGCTAGCGATCGGAATCACGGGGCCTGTCATTGGCTGATCAGTTCCCGTTCACTCCCTAACAAGAAAAACATTCTACTTTAATACTATTGCAATATAACTATATCTAAGGTGTTTCTTTGATTGATATTGTTTAATTATTGATGCTTATGTTAAAAATTACTCGTCAATTGTATACTATCTCATTTTCTTTTCTGCTAATATCTAACCCGACCCAATGCGACCTCACAAATCCCAAAACCAATGCGCAGGGAAACCCATCAGAAAACTCCTATGCAAATAACAAGATTCAAAAGCAAAAGGGACAATATGGCGCAATCAATCTTGCATTTCCACATCATGGTCACGGGTGGCCACAGGCTCGACTGTTCGGTCCGCAATCAACGCGCTTACAGGGACCATAGGCCGAGAAACCGACGGAGATGTCGTCTTTGAATCTTCTCTTTGTGGGGTGGCATCTCCTGTACCTGTGCCGTTTTCTGGTGCCGGAGGTGCACCGGTACCGTTGAGAGTGCGCTGACCCTTCTCCATGGCGCCTTGATTCGCCGCATCCTTCGCCCTCTTTTCCTTGAATTGTTTATAGGTCGTAGTCTTAGGGATCACGTCAGAAAGGAACTCGAGATTGTCGGTGTGTGATACCGCCGAAGCTATTGCAGGTTAGCATGCTGTTTGACTCTTGCCAACTATAGGCATGATAGGCATAACCAACCAAGATCTTTGTACTGGACGGTCTTGCGTGGTTTTCGCTCAGATTTGACCACGTTGTGCCCTTGCTCAGCAAGATACTGGATGAACATCTCCTATATATAGTATTAGCCGGTGTGCGAGGCATGAAGGTAGAGGGTTTGGCGCACGGTAGCCATTGCGATAACGAAGGTTGCGTTGTTCGAGCATTGTACGATATCCTCGTCCAACTGGATAATCTTCTTGATTCGAGCAACTATAGAAACGCGTTAGTGTGTCGATCCAAAGTAATAGTAGTGCCTGGGACGTACTCGGAAGTGCGCTCTGTCCGGTGATCTCATCCGGCTCTCCCACGGTCTTTGGGGCCATGGTGTTTAATTCTGGTGGGATAAAGTATTGGCCGAACAAAAATATACAATTTGCAGCATGCGCCAGTCAAATATTCCCGTTGTAGACGTAAGTGGGCGCGAGCGTGGAGTCGAGGAAGAGTAAAACGCGTGGCCGCGTTATCTCAGGAGGCTCCCCGTTATCGATCCATGGATACTTGGCGACTTCGCTTTGTCACATCATCTACTTTCAAGACCTCTATTTACCTCTTCTGAATTTGTCGCTCATAGAGGGGTTGAACAGAAGCACCCCAGGGGGATCTGACTTCGAAATCGAGAGTTCGCCCTCTCACATCGAATTGCGACGTCCATCACGGACACAAGAACAGATCATCGAGTCAACCTTAAATCGATTATGCTGACCCTACCTCCTCGATCAATGTTATGACCTCTCCACGCCTCTCCCCGACCTTTGATAGGTCCCTTTCAGTTTCAAGAGAGCGGCGCAGCTCGCGAAGGCCATCCGGTCGTTCTATTCCCTCCCCCATCGACCCACAAGCCGATCCCGACAACCAAGAAGCACCCGCCATTTCAGAAGAGATCAGTGGGATCAAGCGCTATGAAGATTTCACCACAATAGACTGGGTTCAAGATGCTGTCTATGAGCAGTCACGGCGGCGCGCGAAACGGCGCAGTGGCACTGGATTCTGGGATCAGGAAGGCATCTTTGGCTGGAGACGGAAAATGTACGAGTCATACGATGCAGGTCAGGCATGGCTTGTTGTTACACTTGTGGGAATGGCAATTGGATTAAATTCGGCTGTGCTCAACATCATCACGGAATGGCTCTCTGATATTAAGCTGGGCCATTGTACTACCGCGTTCTATCTCAACGAGTCTTTCTGCTGCTGGGGCGCCGAGAATGGTATGTTCAGTAGGTTGTACAGCGAGATCCTTATAATCTAACCCTTTTCTTTGATAGGCTGCCCCGAATGGAAACATTGGACTTCATTTTGGCTGTTAAATTATGTTTTCTATTTCTTTGGCGCGGTAAGACCTATGTCCGACTAATACTTGAGAAACTATGAATCCATAGGCTAATTTGTGAGATAGTTGCTACTTTCATCCATCGCCGCAGTCCTGGTCAAATCATTTGCGCCGTACGCCGCAGGCTCTGGTATCTCAGAGATTAAATGCATTATTGCTGGCTTCGTCATGAAGGGTTTCCTAGGTGCCTGGACTCTTCTAATCAAGTCAATTGCCCTTCCACTAGCAATTGCTTCAGGCTTGTCTGTTGGAAAAGAGGGCCCTAGTGTGCATTTTGCTGTGTGTACCGGAAACGTGATATCACGGTTCTTTGGTAAATACAAACAAAATGCATCGAAGACGAGAGAAATATTGACTGCCTCAGCGGCAGCTGGTGTGGCTGTCGCTTTTGGCAGTCCAATTGGAGGCGTGCTGTTCTCCCTGGAGGTGAGTTCAATGGGGCGCGTTACCTGATAGGATGAAAGCTGACAGTCATTAGGAAATGGCAAACTATTTCCCCCTCAAGACTCTTTGGCGCAGCTATTTCTGTGCCTTGGTGGCAACCAGTGTGCTGGCGGTATGTTTCCCATATTGTCAATTAATTCTGGACCATACCTGATCCATTATAGGCTGTCAATCCTTTCCGGACTGGCCAATTGGTCATGTTCCAAGTGGAGTATGATCGTACATGGCACTTTTTCGAGTTCATCTTCTTTATTGCCCTTGGTATCTTCGGTGGACTTTACGGCGCATTCGTAATGAAATGGAACCTTCGAGTGGCCGCCTTCCGCAAGAAATACCTTGCACAGTGGCCTATAACCGAGTCGGTTGTTCTCGCGGGGCTCACCGCGATACTGTGCTTCCCCAACATGTTTTTAAAGATCAACATGACCGCAATGATGGAGATCTTATTCCGCGAATGCGAAGGTGGCCATGACTATCAAGGGCTATGCGAGTACGAATATACCCCTTCATATACATGAGAGGACACTACTAACTCATTGCAGATCCAAGAACCGATGGTCGATGGTCTTCTCACTAGCTATTGCGACTGTTCTTCGCACTGGCCTGGTAATTATTTCCTACGGCTGCAAGGTGCCGGCCGGTATCTTCGTGCCTTCGATGGCCGTCGGCGCTTCATTCGGCCGCATGGTTGGCATCATGGTACAGGCACTACATGAATCATTTCCCCAATCAGCATTCTTTGCTTCGTGTGAGCCAGATGTTCCTTGCATTACACCGGGGACATATGCGTTCCTGGGAGCTGGAGCAGCCCTCAGTGGAATCATGCATCTGACCATCTCTGTAACGGTCATCATGTTCGAGCTGACTGGTGCATTGACCTACATTCTACCAACTATGGTAAGTCTTCATTCCAAGTGGCATTGTTTTATTTGACCACGCTGACTGTTCTTGTAAAGATCGTGGTAGGCGTCACCAAAGCTGTTGGCGACCGATTCGGCAGCGGCGGTATCGCCGATCGAATGATTTGGTTCAACGGGTTCCCATTCCTAGACAACAAAGAAGACCACGTCTTCAATGTACCTGTATCCCACGCAATGACCACAGGCCCGCTCTCGGTGCCAGCATCGGATTTCCCCGTACGCGAAGCAGAACATCTCCTAAACGACAACAAATTCCAAGGCTTCCCCGTCGTGGAGGACCGCACTTCCAAAACCCTAGTCGGATACATCGGCCGAACCGAACTCCGATATGCCATCGACCGCGCCCGTAACCAGGGAATGGTAGCGCCAAACGCCCTGTGTGTATTCACCAAAGATGCAGCCGACGCAGCCGTTGCGCGCAGGGCATCCGTCTCGCATAACGCTCGGTCATCAGATACATTCGATGCAATCCAGCAGAGCGCAGGGGCATCTTTCGTCGATTTCTCACGATATGTCGACCACACACCGCTGACCGTTCACCCGCGCCATCCTCTCGAAACGGTCATGGAAATTTTCAAGAAGATGGGTCCGCGAGTTATTCTCGTCGAGCACCGCGGTAAACTCACCGGCTTGGTTACCGTTAAGGACTGTTTGAAGTATCAGTTCAAGGTCGAAGCCGAAGAACATACACTGGCCGCAACAAGTTCGTCTGAATTTGGCGCACTTGGTGGACATCTGAATAACCCTGCTCCTGAAACACTGGAAGACCGCTTGTGGCGGCTCATTCAGAATGTCGCTGGGTTTGTGTCTGGTAAGGTCTCTCGCCGGCCGGTCCGGCCGCGTGACCGCACTGTACCTAGGCAATCGGAGTCGGCGGATATCCTAGAAGGGAGGGATGATGATGCGGCAGTAGAATTGGAGGATAGAGAGGATCGGCCGATGATCCCATGAAAAGCGGGTTCGCTATGTTGCCATGTTTATACGTTACGTTGATAGAGATATGTTTGCTATGTACCAAGCGTTGCTCTATCTATTTTCCCATCTATTGCAAGCTCCAATGTGTTCAAGCCGATGGAGGCAAGAACGGGAATTCCTTATGTCTCAGAGTAAAAGGCGCCCAATATAATCTACACTAGCCCCATCACATCTTGCTCCCGTTAAATTCTATACGGAGGTTACCGTGACTAGGCCCCTTTAACCTGGAACTATGAAACAAGTCTAAGGAACAAAATATTACGTTTGCCGAATTGGCTACCCATATGGCGACGATCTACCTCTGCATGGAATATCGCATCTGGCAGCATGTGAAAGCACGTCAAGAATGAAGATTGTAAAAAATACTAGGAAATGAGTAGAGCTCGAAGACATCCTCTCCTCTGAGGCATATCTCCTCTAATGCCTCGCTTGGACCGGAATTGTCAAGGCAATTCCGGCGAATATATCTACGCCCTGTGCATCGGAACCAACTAAGGCCCAAATCTTTCCAGCTCAAAGTTGAGATTGAAGTTTCGCATTGTGAAGCTCGTAGCAGGCGGACAGTTAAGAG